TGGATCATCATCGTCAAAAAACACTTCTTCATTTTCTTGAACACTGAAGAAATTTTCCCTACTAATGCCAGGAAGTTATCCAAAGCCGGGTATTGGAATTTCATCACAATGAGCTACAAGACGACATGCTGATTGAAGATCAGGATACTTGACGTTGCTCCAGTTCTTTCTGTTGATCCCACTTACATCAATAGCACAGAAGTAGCAGTCAGTGCTGTATTTTGGGGCTCCCTCCAAACCATGAGAATTCCAAATTTCAGACAACTCTTCGTGCCCTTGGTCCACCGACGCAGATATTCGGTACATGCCTTGCATACCATGTGTGTCGTCCAAGGTTTATCCTGGTCACCAAGTTGCTAAGAAGTTTCTTGATACTGTGTGTGGAAGCGAATGAGGTTTCGAATATCAGCAGTGAGAGTAACATGGCCCTTAGTTAGACTCGGTTGTTGGGATCAAATATCGTGATTTTTATAGTGAGAAATTGGCTGCAGAATTATATAATTTTACTTATTCCTAATTGGCCCTAAAAAGTCACGTGTTATTCTTACTACTACGTCCGCGCGATATTTGGCGGTATGCCTAAATTATAATGACTAATAAGACAAACTTTCTGATTAGTATTCTATGACTTTATTCTATAGGTTAATTGGTGTGTTTTGATATGAAAGCAATTTATTGCATGTTATCGGTTTAGAAATATTTTCAAGGCGTGTTTTAATATTTATGTAGCTATTTTTAGCTGAAAATAATTCCGATGGGTTAAAATCAATAAGTTTATAATCGTTTTATGGTGTGAAATACGTTGCATATTTAGATATTTTAATGGACATAACAATGTAAACAAAAACGTAAAAATAACATATGGCCATAGCTCAAAAAGTTGGCCTGATTGAGCAAACCTAATGTGATTTTTGGATTCAGTCCATCAATATTGTCTTAATTCAGCTAAAAACATTTAGACAATAAATTTGGTGTTGACCTGTGTATTAGTCTTAATTTTAGCTTAGTTATTATACACTGAACGTCAAACATGGATAAACGCACACACAAAAGACTTAGTGTGAAAAGCACTTTTTTTCCATTGAAATCGCTTTTAAACTCCATTCAATATTCTGCAATGTTTATTGTTTTAAACCTATATATATGAAAATGAATTTATACATTTTCTTTGTTCTTGAGTATTGACAACAAAAATTAATAAACACTATTTATTTATTAGATTGTTTATTTACATTATTATTGTTATTTATTGGAATGACTGACAAAACATCGGCTAATTGCCAAACGATTCGAACTTTATGAAATGGTAAATGATAAGGATTTCCTTATTTAGTAAATGTTTATAAATTTATGAATAAAAGTTGTTTTCGCATTTATTTATTTATAAATTAGTCCGTTATTGGCGGCCACAATCTTAACAACATAAGGCATACGGATGACACAGTGTTGATAGCAGGCACAGAAAGAAAGCTACAAAACCTCCTACAGAAGGTAGCAAAAGAAAGAAAAAAAAGAAGGGTTAAACATCAACTGCAAGAAGACAGAATGTATGGTTGTTGGCAAAAGCCCAAAGTGCGAATTGCAAATCAGCGATACCAAACTCAAACAAGTGCGGAAATTTAAATATCTGGGAAGTGTTTTAGCAGAGAACGGAAAGTGTGACACTGAAATCCGAAGACGTTTTGAGATAGGCAAAAATTCCTTCTGAAAGCTAAATACAGTATTGAGAAATAGAAAATCTTGGCGAGAAACAAGGAAAAGAGTTCTAAAATGTTACGTGATATCTGTCCTCCTGTATGGCAGTTAGTGTTGGACAATCTCCTCAAAGATGAAAAAGACACTTGAAGCAATAGAAATGTGGTTCTACAGAAGGATGCTGAGTATACCATGGATCGAACATGTGAGCAACTAAGTTTTAGATAAAATAGGGGAAAAAAGGAAACTTATACTTAACATCAGGAAGATACAGTTGAGGTTTCTGGGGCACATAATGAGGAAAGAAAACTTGGAAAATCTGATACTCACAGGATCCTTTGAAGGGAGGAGAGATAAAGGAAAACAACGCATAACATAGTGAGCTTAAGTAAATGGATGTCGGAACAGGGTTTAGGGAAAAACACAAAGTTTAGTAAGAGCTACAAATGACAGGAAATTGTGGAGAGCTACGATCGCCTACGTCTTGAGGGAACACGACACATAAAGAAGAACAGATGAGAAATATTGCACTAGTTCTAATTGTATACGTTATTTTTTTAAATGTAAATATAAAATTATTCTTGTAAATCAACAATTTAATAAATAAATAGTGTCGAATATTTTTGTTGAAAATTCTCAAGAACAAAAAAAATGTATAAATTCGCTTTTATCGCCAGTTTAGGTTTTATTCCACTTCTACTCACCGCTTTTTAATCAATAAATATTGCCAAAATGTCGAGTTGGTTAAAAATTGGTATCATGGGGAAAACCGTCCTTTTAACACGACGTCTTATTGCGAGCACGTTTGTCTAATATTTAGCTATCAAGCATTGTTTTATTACCATCAGCACTCATTGTACAATACTACATATATATGTGTGTGTGTGTGTGTGACAGCAACCTTTGTTTTAAACATCTTTTAAACATGACAGACAAAGAAAATTTAATTAATTTTATATTTAGTTTCTACAGGGTTCTTACAAGTTTTTTCCAGCGCGTGGGACAATATACAATATGAACAATTTTGGCACCAAACAAAAAAATGTAAAAACACTGGAAAAACTAGATAAAAAAATTAATTAAATTTTCCTTTTCTGTCATATTTAACGAAAGATATATGTATATTGACTGAGTTCTATAACTTTGAGTGGCAACCGGTCTAGAAAAAGGGAAAATTCTGAATTCAAAACTGTCCTGAAGAGAGTTGGGTTCTGCTAGACTATCTTTCCCAAGAAACACCACTTCAATATATGGTGCCCCTACGATCCTGCGGGTCACGGGATAAAAAAAAATATGTATATTGTCTCACTGGGGTAACTTGCAAGTAGGTCACAATGGTGCCGATTTTCACTGTGCCCAATTTTTTGCTAGGGCCTGCTGGTAAATGGTTTTGGCTTCATCAGAGATAATTTCGTTGCCTGAGTTTCTGGATAGCCAATCTTATAGTAATTCTTAATGTACTTCTGTATAGCGGGCGTAGACCGAATTTTTATTAATGTACGGAATTTTACCCACGCTTTTTTGTAATGTCGGTATCTTCCACTGTTTATATCGAAGGACACATAGAGAAAATTTACTTCCTTAATACAGATTTTAAGTTTTAAGACGGGGTCCTTAAAGAATGTATGCAGATCTTTCTTTATATTTTTGTAGCCTTCCTGGGTCTTTTACTACGCACGACCATGAAATATTGCAGGCAAGATAGCCGTGGTGGTGATAATAGTTATGATAGTGATGATTCCAACAGTAATGACAAAAAGAGAACCAGAGGCAGGTAAATAACTTTAAAGATTAGCTATAGCTACCCTGGCAACAATACCAAAAGGATCAGCTCTCAGCTGCGTTCCTGTCTTCGGATAGAGCGCAACACAGTTGTGTCTCTGTCAACGGCCAGAGCACAATAGGAAAAATATTAAGAGGTTCCCGGTACAGGGAAGCAGTCACCCAAAGCAGTGAAAAGAGGGGTACTGCCTTAGGTAACAAAGAGGCGGATCAGTAGTAATATTAGTGCAAAGAGCGCAAACGACAATTGCGGGAGCTGGGTAATTTTTGGCCCGGGTGTACGTGCTCGAGTAACCCACATGACACCAATCTTGTGTCACATCTTGTCACCGTGGAGAGACGAGTAAATACCATGGCTAAAAAGGATCAACGCGCATACACCACTATAACAATGTCCTCTTGGATGTATATGTCTAGAAAAGAACGTGGTCTACCAAGCTACTAGTCGTTGAGGGAGTGACACAGAAAGAAAACTGTAGAAACTCCTAGTTAAGGTAGTAAAGGAAAGGGAGAAGAAAAAACCATTGTCAATTGTAAGAAGATATTTAACTTTATATTATTCGGACTATTGTCCTCATCTTTGTCGCCATATTTATCACAACGTTTCGGCCGTTGTACGCTCCGGCCTTCTTCAGGTGGTTGGAATTTCGGACTGAACCCTTTATTTCGATCAATGGGGTAGACTGTTCTAGTTCCACTTGCCATGTTTGATGGCTGTCAGTTATCAGTGGTAAAATGATTGCTGAGGACATTAGGTTTATAATACCCAGAAATTCATACCCAGATGTTCTCAAGGACACGTGGCGCAGTGGGTTAAGGCGTTGGCTAGATCCAGTGACAAGATTGTGAGTTCACGGTTAAGGCAGTGGAGAACTTTCAGAGGGAAATTAGCAGGAGATGACTTTGGGTTATGTTAATTCAGAAATCTAAAGTTTTTGTATGCAATTTTAGGGGTTTCCGCTACAAATATTTTGAACGCAATGTTATGCCTTCAACTACATATATTTTGTATAGAATTTTATACATTCAGAGTAAACGTATTCTATTTAGATATAGTGTGTAGATGATAGAAAGTGAGAAGAAAAAACTATTGCCAATTGTAAGAATATATTGAACTATCAGAGAAGTGTTAAAATAGACAACAGAATCCTTTCGCAAGGGTATTTGCGCGTGAGTGAATATAACGAACCCAGCTGGAATGTGAATTCACCCATTAACAATTCTCCATTACACCACCCGCAAATCCAAGCTTACAGCACCTGGCGTTGCCAAGCGGTCACCCATCTAGGTACTGACCAGGCTCAGCGTTGCTTAACTTCGGTGAATGTACAGGAAGCGGTGGCCGTAAGGCTTTTTTTATATAGAATTTGGGCCACAGAGCAATTGTTCTACAGTAGGATGCTGAGAAGAAACACGGCCCATGAAGCTAGAAGTGTGTGAGGGGTTATTGTGATAGAAAGAATATGTAGGTGTTAGAGAGGGATTCATGTGAGCAAGGAGATTCATCTCTCACTCTCTCTCAGATGCACAAACATACACACTCTCTCTCTCTCTCTCTCTCTCTCTCTCTCTCTCTCTCTCTCTCTCTCTCTCTCTCTCTGGAGGGACAGAATGTACTTTTCAAGAATAATGTGAATGCGGGTTTTAAATAAACTTTTTCAGACCACACAGGTAGTGCTCCAAATGCAGTCGCGTTTGCTACGCAATGGCCTTCGAGAGACGTCGTCATATACTATACTGAACTTTGTTTTGAGACAAGCTCACGAGTACGGAGCAATTGGTGAGAATCGAACTCACTAATCGGTAGTAATAATCGAGGCGACTGCCTTTCGAGAACAGTTTGCTGCGTCTAACACAAAACAAGCTTCTATCGCATGTACACATGCGCGCCAAGCTGAAAATGTGAAGGAAAAAGTGAGGACTTGTAAAGAGTTACAGAGTGAGAGGAGGTGTGTTTACATGTCTGTGTATGTGCGTGCATATGTGTGGGAAGAATATCAAAGGGACAATGATGCGTATGTTATATCTGTGAGTGTTAGCTTTTACATGTGGTGCATGCGTGCGTGTGTGTGTGTGTTTTATAATTTTAATTCTGCTTTTCTGGTCTAATTCCCTCTTTTCAAATCAGAAACCTGGATATTTTTTTAAAAGAAAATTCTTCATACATTTCTCATTCACTTCGTCTTTTTTTCTCCTCGTTTTTCTATCTTTTTGACTTCCAATTAGCCTCTTTTCTTTCTCACCGACTATTCGGAATAAAGTACTTCTAGTATTTTCTTCTCTTCGCTTCCTTTCATCTTGCATCTTTCATCAACTCACTCGGGATTTTACAAGTCTTAAAACAAAATCTCTCAAAGAAATATTTACTTCACACAAAATTTAGTATTCTTTCAGCTAATTTAAAAATAAACAGAGTAAAAGATCACAAAAACAAGCTATATCAAGAACGTGCTAGCAGCAGATATCAGGTAAAGTTCTTTTCATCATAGCGTAACGGAAAGACAAATTCGACGTATGTTTTTTAAAACTTTACTTAAATTTTGCATATATTACTAAAAAAAAAACATTTGAGAAGTTTCAGCTTGAAGAACTACTTGAAATACATGAAAAGCTTGATTTATATAGAAAAGATAATCGAATAATCCGTACACCCTACACAGAACAAACAGCCAGCATGCAGATAAAGAACAAGTTCAGGGAATAAACAAAAATAGAATAAAATAAGGATACATTTTCTCACTGGATGAATTTGCTCTTACAGCTAGAAACTAGAAGTCCCACCAGTGTTTATTATCGGCGGACATAATCTCAACAGCATGAGATACAACCGCTGATGGCAAACTCAGAAGGAAAACTGAAAGCACGCTTAGACGAGGCTGAAAAGGAAAGCTATAAGGAAGGACCAACTGTTTAGTTTAAAACGACAACAGGTAAGCTTGCCAGCAATTATAAAACAGAATGTCTGGTCGTTATCAAAAGGTACATTGCAAGATGTGAGTGACGTATTATGGACGTCACAGTCAAGCATGTACAGGAAATTACCTCTCTAGTTAGAGTAGTGATAGAAGATGGGAAAAGTAACACAGGAATCCAGATATGCATAGTAATAACCAAAGATGTTTTTCAGAAACTAAGCAAAGATAGGAGAATATTATGAATAAAGAATTTGAAAAATGGCTGCAGCTTTCTGAAATTCAAAGCGGATATCGAGACATTAATGGTGGTATTCAGTGTTTCATATTCTGACTTCCGAGGCATTTAATATATAGTTAAGTAGGAACAAGGCCAAACAGGAAGTGAATGGGGATAGGAAGATTGTTTTACGTCAAACATTTTTAAGTTGGGAGAGTCTCTCTGCTTTGAAAATAAGCATTCGAGACTTCGTCCATTAGTTGCATTCGAACACTGATACCTGAAATCGGAGTTAAATTACGTCCTAGTTTCGTAAGCTAGTCCTGGGTATGACGATAAACTACATCCGGCAACAAGACCTCTGATCAGGAGATTGAAAGTTTTGAGGAGCGTGGATCAATCTCACAGTTGCTGTTGTTCTTAGGTTCTGCCTGACCCGGATTGTTAGCTCCTGTTAGGGTCCTAGCTAAGGGCAAATAATGTAGCTCCCCACCCCCAAACAAAAAAAATATGAAAGTATAAAATACATTTAATAGTAAAAATATAAACAAATACATTTTAAGAAAGATTGCCAACAATACATTTTATAGCAAAATGACCAACAATACTTTTTAATTGTACTTGCAGCCATAAAATTGTTTCAAATATTTAGATTTCGACATTAAATAACCTACAGATGTTGATATGCCGCTAAACAAAATCAACCAACCAAACAATCAGCATGAAAGAATTCCTTCACGACATTAATCCATATAATATCCTACAATTTCTTAAAGAAATCAAACTGTATTCCAAAATATAACTTCAACAAAACTACAATATGAAACACATATATCACCGCCTCTTTGGGCACCTAGATGTGGTGTAATGGTTAGCAGGCTTGTCTCGTTAAAACACTTACGACTGAGTAGTGAGTTCATTCCTCACTGGCTGTCACCATACATTCGGCCTTGTGCCATATCTAAGCCGCGCTTGGAAAATCAATATATCACCGGCTCTAGTAATCAAATATATGCACAAAAGTTGAGCATCATCTACCATGTATACTATTGTGAAGGCAGAATAAAACATTTCATATTTTTATTACTTCAAAGTTCCCAAGATTTAATTCCGGCATTAAGGAGTTGATATGACGTTAAACAAATTAATGAATCCAACAGTTTAGTAAGTAGTAGGATTAAAAGCGCCTTCCTAATATTTTCTTTAAATACAAGACGGGACTAATATATATATATATATATATATATATATATATACTATATATATATATATATGTGTGTGTGTGTGTGTGTGTGTGTGTGTGTGTGTGTGTGTGTGTGTGCTTATGGATAGGCGTCTATGCACCAAATCCTTCAGCAAGCGAGTTTGTGATAAGTTCAATTTGCAAAATGGATATAAGAGCCTCTCATTAAAGTAATATTTCGAGAACCTTTTTGTTACACAATTGCTACGAGTGTTACTGGTAATATATATTATCCAGTATTCTCTGCTGCGTGGTCGGGTCATCGGCAAGTAAAACGGTACCCGCATCAGGCCTTTCTGGTAAGGAGGGTGGCTATACGCCCAACAGAATTAAAATAAAGACAGGGTGGACGAACCTTCTTTTAACATTAACGGCGATCCAGCTCAGTGGCGTAAATAGGTATGCAGCCAGGAGGAAGATGACACGGTATATCTGGAAGGAGGGCTTCCTAGATTAGAGTCAACTGCCAGCGCTCAGAGAAGTTTTGGTATCAAAAAGATGTTAGAAATGTTTGACTTCTGCCGAACAGAAGACGCTTTTCTGTCAGTTGCATTAATTTAAACGATTCTACCCCAAAGTATTTTAAAGTTGTTTTACTTTGACATATTGACTTTGATCATGTCTCGCCTCAACTTCTTATTCTTTGTGTTGCATATTTCCCACGTGGGGGTCAACAGCGCTAATTCACTCATATTGTTGGATCTTCTATCTCTTCTTTCGATCGGTGATCGCTAGTCGCTTTTGGTTCGGAGATAAAAAAAAAAGAAAAAGAAAAAATAACAAAGGGAATTTTAACTTAACTAGTTTCTTAATGTCAACGTATACGTCTCTGACTAGCCAATGGGGTCTCTCTCTCATTCCGCTGGGAAGCCGCTTCCAGACACGAAGGAAAAACGTGTACATTGTATGACGGTTTAGACTCGACTCCTCGAAATCCCTTTCTGCATCTCTATCATTTCCATGCTCGTTCAACCAATCAAAACCAACTTCCTTTATTTTGTCTTGTATCTGACCTTAAAGGTCAACCCCAAGAAGTCCGAGTAGAGATACACTTCTGTAAAAAATTAATAGACTGCTAAACTAGTATTTAACACTTGTAGCTCTTAGCAATGTTTTATTATTTTTATTATCACTCTCATCAGCTGATTATGTAGTTTATTTAATGTTTCCTTTTGCCCATCTTGAATTCAATAAGTCTGTGAGTGTCAAATTTTCCTAAACTTTTTCCCTATTATGTGTCCTAGAAATTTCAACTGTCTCTTTCTGCTCTTAAGTCTCAGTGTTCTTTTTGTTCCCATTTTCCTTACAATTTCCTTGTTACTTACTTGCATAGCCCATGGTATTCTCAGCATCCTTTTGGAGAACCACGTCTCTATTGCCTCAACTCTCTTCTTCATCTGTGAAAAAATTAGACATTATTGGACATTATTTGAATAAACGTTTTTGTACTTGCTCATACTGGTGTGCGTGCGTGTGGGGGTGGGGCACACGCATATGCGTATGTGCGTGAGATTTGAAACGATTTTAAAGTGTGGTTACGATGGAAGTGCCAGCCAATAAAATTTTTCATTTGTTAATTACCTTCCCTATCACTTGTATCAAACATACATTGCACCAGTGAATAATAAAATCAAAAGGCTTTATGGGTTTTATTCGTCATGCGATTCTATTACGTGTTAAAGATATTTGTATTAGGGACGTACATAAGTTCGTGGCGTTTTTAAGTGAATTTCAACATTTCAAAAACAAGTTATTTATAAAAAGATTTATTCAACCACTTATACGCTATATCATTTCACTAACCTACGCCATCTTTTTTGGCATTCTCGTGTTCCCTATTCACCCAGAACTTGGCATCTTTCTGGATGAAGAACTGGTCGAAGTGGTTTTGACTGGCCTTCAGATAATGGAAGGTTTTTCTATTAAGAGCAATTTGAAGGGATTGAAATAAGTGGTAATTCGAAGATAGAGTGCCAAGAGTTACATCGGGTGTAATAGCACATCCCAGCCAAATTGTACCAATTTCTGTTTTATCTGCATGATGTAAGGTCTGGCGTTGTTCTGATGGACGACGACAATCTTCCCATTGACCAATTTCGGATGTTTTTCATCCATTGCTGCCTTTTATCGGTCAAATTGCAGACAAACGTCGTAATACAAACAAGAAAACCATTTTTCATCGCCTGTGATCGTTCTTTTCAAGTGATTGATTGATTGACTCGTTTTCTTCGGCTTATCAACTATTTACAGGTTATTTAAAGCCAGAAAATACTTTTAGATTCTAACAATTTTTTATTGAGATAATAATTGTTTCACTGATACAAGTCTTATTAATTAACCCATAGCTGGGACCAGAAGTGATGGAGTCATAACTTTCCCAAAGATATTTGCGCGTGGGTGAATATAACGAACCCAACTAGAATTTGAACTCAGCTCTCCGATTAACAATTCTGAGCCATTATCCATTATACTACCTGCACATCATCTAAACTTACAGTATCTTGTATTCACAAGCGGAGACTCATCTAGGTACTAACCAGACTCGATGTTGCTTAACTTAATTGATCTTGCGAGAACTGCTGTTTTCAACGTGATGTGGCCGTAAGTTTTTGTTTTTTTTTTCAAAGATGCGTCGTTTTTGTTGCATTTGAGCAGTCCATTCATTTCTTTCTCATATCAAATCGTAAGGCATTCGAAACATCGTAGCGTTTCATGTATCCAAGTGTTTTCAAATGTCTTTCAACGCTTATATGAGATATGTGGAGTATCTTCGCGATGTCCCGTATCGTGTAATCTGGAATTTTTTCTCGTTGAATTGTGAGTCACTGAAACTTGATAGGGATTCACGTATCTAAGTATATTAAAAGGTTCTACAGCTTTTATATGTGATATGTGAAGTATCTCTGCTATGTCCTGTGTTATGTGAATATTTATTTATTTATTGTGTATATATATTTATGTTCTTCTACCGGCCTGAATAATCGAGAAAATTCACTAAAGAAAAACGTCGGAAATTTTTCTTCAGTAAGATTTCTCTAACATTCAGGCCGGTAGAAATAATACTGTTTAATAAATAAACGGAGCGTCAACACAAATACGAGTATCCGCTAAAAATAGCATTTAAAGTAATTTGTTGGGTTAATAAAATTTCATTACTTTCTTTACATATATATATAGATATATATGTGTATGTGTGTGTGCGTGCGTGTTTTATTTCTCTCTATTTATAGATTCATTGAAATTTTAGCAGATTTTTCTTTCGTGTATAAATTTATGCTACTAATTCTTCAACTTCCGCCACTTTAGATGCTGCATTTTATTATACATTTTTTCAATAGATTTTTATCTTATCATCTAATTTTCTTCTATTGGGTCATAATCATCATCATCATCATCCCATTGACTTTTGTAATCGTAGAGGTGGATCCGAATGCAGAAGCCATATTGAATCTTTTCTACAACGGTCTATCAACGGCAGTCATCATCAATTCTGGTATAGTCATACTTGTCTATTGTTTGACATTCTCCAACAAGTTCTTGCGTTGGCGTCCTCTCCTATGTCTACCTTCAACAGTGCCTTGCATGATGGCCTTGCACAGGCTGTCGGACCTTGTAAAGTGTCTAAACCACGCCATTTTTCTCCGTTTGACAGTGGCAAAAAGAGGTTTCTGGTGGCCCACAAATACTTAGCGGATTCAGTGTAGCGTTTTACTGGAGTTTCAAAAACAATATTAAGATTTCTTCAAGCACATGGGCAATTTTGTTCTATAAACTTTCGGCATCATTTTGTGATTCCATCCTTTTAACTGATGAACTGGTCTAAATGGTTTTTATAGGCATCCAGAGAATTGACGGTCTTCTCATGAAGAGAATGTCATATGGACCGAAATAATTGGTAATTCGAAGGTCATTTAGATATGGCGGATATAGCAAGGTCAATTTTTCTGCTAAATCGTGATGCATTCAAACATCTTAGTGATTCACGTATCCAAGTGTTTTCAAATGCCTTAAAACGCTCATATCAGATATGTGGAGTATCTGTGCGGTGTCCCGTGTCGTTGGACTAGGATAATTTTTAATCAGCTTTTCAATTTGGTCATCATGAACGACTGTGGTTCTGTCGGAACAAAAAATATCCCCATCTTGAACTAGGGAACAACTTACGAATATTATTCTCAACTATAGCACCATCTTTAAAAATGGCACACTTCTTTTTTCTTTTCTTCTTTTTTTCTTTTTTTTTTTTTTTTTTGGTGGGGGAGTTGTATAGCGTTTTATTTTATTTTTTCCGGGTAGAAAAGCGCATCTAAGGAAGAAAACGATTTTCATTTTTTCTCCACTTTCACTTTTAACGTAAAAACATTTAAACAAATCGTAAGGAAAGACTCGTTGAAATCTCAGCTTTAAGAATATGTATCTATGTAATGGATGTTGGGGCACATATGAAATGAAACACGACCTACTGAAAAACTCTACGAATCTTGTTCCTGCCCAAAAGGATGATTGGGTAGATGATGCTTTGAAACTGTGATTCTTAACCCCCGTGCCGCGGCACACGAGTGCGCACGATCCTCTTAAGAGTGACACGAAATATTGTATTGGCACACACACACACACATATATATATATATATGTGTGTGTGTGTGTGTGTGTGTGTGTGTGTGTGTGTGTGTGTGTGTGGAAGTGGCAATGAAAAATACAACAAAAAAATCGACAACTATTTTTCGTCACTGAGCACAGAAAAGTATGAGTGGATTCCAAATACCGTCATAAATGTTTTTTTTTTTTTTTCTAATATTGGACTTCAATTATGTGAAGAAGGATTGGCCACCATTTCTTGTGATTGAGGGCTCAAAATAAAACACCCGACGGTATCCATGGATACATTTTGATTTTCAATACAAAAGGAATACCCCACGTTGGCTAAAAAGAAGCGAGAAAGACTACGCTAAACTCAAGAAAAAAATGAGGGTCTGCTTATCGTATATTCGACCAAACATTGAAGAAATCGCCCAAAAACACCAGGCACAGGTTTCACACTGAATAAGCTGCACAAATAATTGAATAGAAACATTGAAATTGTTTAAGTTCATATTTGGGTGTGTATTTTTTTTTAAATCTAAGTTTTATTTCATAACATTTCAATGATTACGCTTTAAAATTTTCTTTCGTGTGCAGTGATATTTAAATTTGCATAGTCGTGTTGTTGAATTTGAACGTGTGCCGTTTTTTTAAAAAGCATGAGAAACACTGCATCAATATCAAAATGAGGCTAACATTCAGAAAGCTTGAAACGATAAGTTCTAATCTTAAATAGATGATGTAATGTAAGTAACTCTTGGTTTGCAAATACAGTATTGTACTGGTAAATTCCAAGTTTCCATTAAAATTACTTGAAAATAATATTAACAAATGCTAAGAGCAAAGCGACTGTCACATCAATGATAATTCTTTTTATAGAAATTAGGCATATTCAAGTTTTCCTTTTAAGGAGAAAAATTTATGTTATATATTTGCATTAACATCACCATCAGGTGTGTCGTAGGGTTGATACGCAGCTGAGCAGCTGACCGGCTCCCTTTCACATAACTGGGCAGAAAGCCGGCGAGGTGTTCATTCATTCGTGTCTTGGGTAAATAAACCTGGCGGGACCCATTCCAACTCCAAATCAAACAGGCATCCGATGCCCTCCAAATTAAAGGCTGCCTTGGTTACAGGCACGTGACCGTACAGTCCATCGGGAAAACCGGCTGCTTTTGCTGCTGACTTCAGTCTAAGAAGATCTCTCGCCAGTGATGTTGTGTTATCATTGCACTGGCTGCATTAAATATCTAAGAAGCCTAGCCAAATGGCCATTGACCTTACAGGAAGTTTCATCTACCCTTTGACGGCTGGTTAGACCCCTAGCCCGAACAACCTGATGCGGAAACCGGTTGAGTCACAGATGACAGTATTTAGTCACCCCCCCACGAGTGCATCATGTGGCACAAGGCCGGGTTAACGTGGGATCTCGGAGCCCGTGGACTCGGCCAAAAATATGCCCTTTGAACCCGTATAAACGGGTTCAGAGTTGGTTTACCTCCCCGAAAGAGAATCCGCCCTTCGGCGTAGCCTCCTTCGGGTTCCTCCCCGCCCGAACGGAGAGAGTTCAACCGATCAGCCGGTCAGCCGGTCGCCCGACTTCAGACTGAACTAAGTAACAGATAACTCGAGTTTACGGCAGGTAGTCCTAGTTTATGTTACCAGTACCACTCGTAGAGTAACTTGGCATGATTAATTAATGATAAAACGCCTAAATTGAGACCGACGCGTTATATTAACGCATTTTAACAAGAAACCATAACTAAATCTAATGAAAAAAACATACCTTTTATCGATTGCAAAAACAAAATAATGTCAAATTTAATAAAGTTATTTACTAATTTTTTTAAATTGTTAGTAGATAATAGTTGAGAAAGAATGGACTTAATTACTCTCATTCTCCCTCTCTCTCTCCCCCTCTCTCTCTCACTCCTTCCCTCTTTCTCTCTTACTGTCCTCTCGCTCTTTCTCTTACTCACCTTCTCTCCCCTCTTACTTCTCTCCCTCTCTCTTTCACAGTCTCTAACATCCTCACTCTCTTTCCCTCCCTCCCTCCCTCTTTCTCACTCTAATTTTTTTTTAAATTATTAGTGGATAATAGTTGAGATAGGGTGGAATTAATTATTCTCATTGGCCCTTTCTTTCTCTCTCTGTCCCTCTTTCTTTGTCTCATTCTACCTCTCTCTCACTCTCCCTTTCTCCCTCTCCCTCTCATTCTCAATATCTCTTTCATCCCTCTCTCTCCTCTTTTCCCCTCACCTTCTCCCTCTCTCTCACTTACTCTCCCTCTCTCTCTCTCTTTCCCTCTTTATCTCACTCTCTCTCTCTCTCTCATACAGACACACATTCTCTCTCTCTCTCATTCTCTCTCTCTCTCTCTTCAATATTTCTATCAACTGTGGCGTCGTCCTGGTTACACGAGAGTGCAAAGCCTGCAGGGTTCTTCGTCTGATATGTGTCTTTTAATTAGATATTTACCGTAATTGCACTAAACGAGAACGTATTAAATGATTCCCATTTTTCCTCTCTTATTAACAATGAATTTTAAACAAACGCATTAGTTTAAAAACTTTCTTCATTAGAGGCATTTCAATCTGTTTAACATTAGAAAGTATTTTTACCTTAAAGACCCACCTTTTCGCAAGAAGAAACAACATAAAAATGATAAAATTATAAAAATTTTAAAAAATCAATATATTTTAGCTGAGTTTCAAATGAAAAAATATACTCGAACTGAAATTTAAACTTCTTTAATGAATATTCCATTGCTAATTAATATACAATTGTTGTGAACTTTAATTTCTTTTTTGAATGACTTGAATTACCCAGCTCAGATGAAAATACGTCACCTCCATCAAATCGGAATACAAATATCACAGCTTCCGTAAAGACGAAAACCAAAACAGATTAATTCAATAACATTTCCGTACACTCATAGTTACACATTAAATATGTGCTTTGTAAATCTGATTAATTAATAGAAGAGTACAGAATATGTATTTAATTTTCAAGTGATACCAATTTTGACAAAATGCAAATTCTACATTTCAAATTTCAAGTAAGGTTAACGTATGAAACGAAGCTATGCGTATTCATTTATTGCATTTATAAGCAAGCTGCAACACATAAAGTCTACGATAAAAACTTTACTATATAATACACTATGTTGTCTCTAATGTCTGTAACTGTTAATGTAGCCATTGCAAAGAAGATAAATATAGTTACGTCCTTTGTATTGGTGATTCCAGGTGACTTTGTTTTTGCTTTGAACTAGATTGGGTTGAGTTGGAGGATTTTCTGACACTTCTTGAGCTATCTCATGTTGAAATCTTTTTTTAAAATTTCTTTAAGTCTGAAGTCTATAGGTAAACACTGGCCAAATTTATGTTTGAGCCTAGAAATAACAATTGGTCTGTTAATTAGGTCTATAGACAAAAATTGCTTGAAGTTCTACTTGAGCCTATAGGCAAAATTTGGTCAGGTTTATAGGTAAACATTGGTCGCGTAAATACTCGACTATAGATTGATTATTTTTATGCCTGAGTAAATAGGTAATGATTGATTTTGTTTATATTTTAAGACTATAGGCAAATATTGGTCGCATTATATATTAGTATAGGATGATTTTATCAAGAAGTCAACTCCTTAACTAATTGACCATAGTGAGATTCGAATCAGCGTCTCATCGTCGGAATATTACCGTTTTAACCCTTTGGTATGCATTATTATAAATTGTGTATTCCAGCATAAAAGAACGATACGTAGTAATTCGTAAGACAATCTTTCGAATTGTTTCTGCCAGTGACGAGAAAATAGGGAGCGAAGTAAGTGACAGGCTGAAAAATGACAGAACTGAAGAAAAACTTCTCTCCTGTCGTAACCAAAGAAAAGCATTTCATAATTTAGCTGGGAAGCTTAGCTTATATTCACTAGATTTTGAATTTTCAGATAGATATAATCAAAGAAAGGCCAGAGTATATCGAAATTCATACAAATTACGAAACTACGCAAATAATCCATATTGCTTATATGTGGCATCCGTTGCTCTTGAAAGATCATGGATCTGCGACCAATGCATTATGCTTCAATTGCTAATGGCGGAGCAGCATCATGTCCTCTCCAGGGCGCAGGCCTGGGCAGAGTTTTATGAGAGATCGGCGGTTGCCCATTCAGCACTTCTCCCCTTACCATGCCACCGATGTTGTCCAAGGGAAAAGTAGAGGCTAATACAGGTTGGCAACGGCGTCGTCGCTGGAATTGTCAGTACGAAGATGAACATAACATCGGACTGTTTTAGAGACCCAGGCTCCTGATTTGTCCTCAGAGTTTACTTCTGAAGACTTTCCCATGATCGGATATGGTAGCAAAGAAACGGAGGTTTAAATTCAAAGTTTTCCTTCTCTTAGATAGACTACTCTCCCGGGCTAGCGTGTTCCATCTACCTGAAGTATATATATACACGCACAAACACACACACACAGAGAAACACACACACACACACATATACATGCATACATATATATATATATATATATATATATATATATATATATACACATACATCACCGTGGTACAAGGAACCGGACCATAACATATATATATATATATATATATATATATATATATATATATATATGTTATGGTCCTGTTCCTTGTACCACGGTGATAGTCAAATAGAACCAATAAAGAAGAACTCGAACACAGGTATGGAATAATACAGATATACTACAAACAGGAATATATACAGAGAAGTAGAAGTGTTAGTATGAACAATCAGGTTTAGTAGAGAGAACAATGTAGTCTCGACCAGTATCACTATTCCAATGTCTTGCAGTAATTGTATGAACGCGACTCTGTTTCGGACTGCCTCTGACTCGACTCGACTTGAACTACTCACTCCTTGCCTACTCTTGAGGCGCAGTATTTATTAAGTATGTAATAGTCCATTATTATTATTATGGGTAAGATCCCATGACAATATATACATACATACATATATATATATATATATATATATATATATATATATATATATATATATATTCTGAACTAATAATAAAAGTAGCAAACAAAACAAAAATACCTTTTACCACTCGTAACGCTTTTCCTACAAATATGAAAATACGTCCATAAAAAACAATGTTAGCTTACAATCAATACATAAGAAAAGGATAAAGTAATAAAATTATAAACAAATGTTGTTAAAAAAAATTTTGAATGATAAATGATAAGGAAAGAAATCGACGATACTGAAGCAATAGTCAGAGATAAAAGAAAAACACTGGAAATGCTTTTCCTACAATTTCGAAAATAACGTCCTTTTTCATAAGAAGTGAACTGTTACGCTTAAATATAAATAGAGTATAAGTATTCATGTCAGTGTATAAGTATTTTACCAAATACAATGTTCTTAATATAATTCTTAAAGAAGCATTCTTAATAAATTAAACTTCCGAAATAACACTTATTTTGAAAATAAAATATTCGATTAATACCACAACTTATCTTAACAAATATGGATATTACTAATTAAAGATTATAAACGCATAATATAACAAAAATTATCATATTATAAACAAATTTAAATATAAATCAATAATTAAAATTTTCATGGTTTCCGTATTAAAATACGACATCTCTTTTTTTGAGAGATGAAAAAACACGTCCGTTCACTCCAACATCAGCGTCTTAGAACTTAATATTGCTTAACACGTTGATAATGTCGGTAAACTGCCTCTATATATCATTTTTGTCCTTTATGTATATTGTAAAGCAATTAAAAAAAGAATTTTAATCATCATTATTAAATACCATATAAATAGGTATCTTTCATACAACTACATAATGCCATTCTTTCAAAACATGCTATATTTCACGGCAAATAAATATTATTTTTGCCCGTGATCACCTTAGATGTAGCTGAAGTCTTATTTTCACTAAGAGAATTCTGTAATGAGCAAAATAGATCTTCTTTTATGTGCTGTATTCTTAAGGATGTAAGCCGCCATGACTATCCACAACTTCTGGTATGCTTAAAATCAGAAAGAGACAAATGAAATGTTTTGGATACATTATAAGGAAAGAAGGTTTGGTTAACTTAAGGTTAAGACTTATTGAAAAAAGGACAGAGGGAAGCAAGGAGTAATCTACCTATTGAGTTTGGATGGCATAGCGGCGACAAAGGTCGATGGTAAAGACCTCAACGTTGCTTAGAAAATAAAAGACAAGAAGTTGTTGATAGCCATAATCGCTCACTTCCTGAATGGGCGTGGTGCAAAGAAGAAGAAGAAGAAGAAGACCTATTCTAGTCTTTACATAATTCTCATAATGAAAATAAAAAATTCACTTCCCTCAAAGGCGACCATAGGCGTGAATAACTGTTCTTTATCGAGAAATATAACATGTCCTGGGATGATGGAGTTATTTAAGAGATACAAATCAATATTTTGTACAATAATATTGAAAATCGTTTAAAAAAATAATTATTATTCTTCGTTTTTTATATGCCGTGTCCCTTCAGGACATGATTGATCATGGCCCTGCAAAACTTCCTGGCCTTTGTAGTGCCTAGTATATTTAATATTTCCCTGTCTCTCCTAATCCCTGTTCTTCCAATCATAATAAACTTAACTGTTCATGTTAATAAAATTGCTGTCTATTGGTTATTCTTAAAAGACAACAAGCGATATTATGATATTAATAAATTTCCCGACATTAACAACGTTTTAAGCAATATGGTTTATTTAAGTTGTTTCTTGATGTGTCTGTATTCTTCAGTGTTTCTTTGTATGCTTTTGGGATTCTACCTAATGTTTCAATAGTCTTGGAGTCGACTAACTTTCCAATATTTTAATTCCTTTTACTCTGTTTCCGTCTACCCTTAATTCCATTTCACTCCTCCATAATGATAGCGTTCATATTTAAAATAAATAAGTTTCAAAATCGCCTCTAGGCTCGATTTTAATATCGAAATATTTCCCTAACTCTCCCCTCTCGTCATTCATTACGTGTTTACTATCTACACATTCGTCATTCTATTTTTCTTGTTTCTTCTTCGTCTATTCTGACGACATACCATTTTTTCATTCGTCTTTATTTAACACGTTCACTTACCAGAGGTCAATTACGAAATCTGACTTCAAACGTCAACTTTATAATGGCCAAGTTAGGCAATAATTTTTTTTTACCAGTTGATTTATAGCTTCAAATGAAGTCTTAACATTGTTATCACGTTAAAAGTATCACTTCGAATAAAATCATTATTGGTGCCAGTAGATGAAAATGTATCCGAAAATGCCAGCACGTAGTCGGCATCTTAATAAAACTACCAACGAAGTTAACTCATGTTGGTAGTCACTGTGTTAATAAACACTCCCCCCACACACACACACACTCTCTCTCTCCCTCTCTCTCTCTCTCTCTCTCTCTCTCTCGCGCTC